CAAAAAGAAAACATTTCGATCACTGGATCGTGACTGGATGGCAGTGGTGTTGTGATAAAGCCTGATTCTCATATGTCGTCGACGTCGGCGATGCTATTGTTTGAGATCAGTGAAGAGGAACATAGACAAAAGATTTTACTCATCAATGATCAACGACAATGGGCATCGCCGACGTCCGCGGGCGACATATGAGAATCAGACTTAAAAGGGTTGTAAAAACGACATGACTGTTTTTCTACGTTCGCTTGGCATGATGCATTGTCAACAGTGATTGTAATATTTGCGTAAAAAATTTACACCATTAATATTAAAATACAATCATATGTGTGGGTTTTTATAACGTGGGATTAGTCTATATTGGCGTCTTCAATCAATGACACAAGTGTGTCTTTTCATTGTTTTGAAAATCCCACTTTTCACTTGGGGTGTTTTTTCCGCTCATTTACGAATTTATTTCACAAAATGCGACGAAATCAGTCACGGAGCATGCGTGGTATTAAATAAGTTGGGTGGGCGAGCAAAAGTGAAGTTTTCTCTTGTTGTTGATTTTAGTATATTCTTGCGTGAGACAATCATCAAACCAGAAGTCATCACAAAAACCGTACTAATTCGGAAAATGTTGAAGGAACACTTTTAGACCTAACATGCACGGGCAGCTGCGAAAAATGTTATAGGCAGGGTTCATACATGTCAGGAAGAGTCAAATTCAAGGACTTTTTAAGGACATTCAAGGCCTGCCTCGTGTTGTCCTTGTACATCAGCAAATTCAAGCACTAAATACCGAAGGGAAGGCGTTAGAAATCTTAGGATTCAGTAAAATGTCGGACGTTGAATTGTTAATTTCAAACAGCTTTGTCAGATATGAACATGCAAAATCAATTCAACAAAATGTCCGTTTTGAATGTCAAACAATTTCAGAAAATATCCATAAACTAAAGCAAGAAGAATTTAATTAAGGACTTTAAAGAACTTCTTTACAAATGCAAGGATATTCATGCAAGGCCTTGCCTTGGATTTTTGTTTTCAAATTCAAGGACTTTCAAGTTTTGTGCGAACCCTATATAGGCCCTCTTTGCCACGTTTTGTGACTCGTTTTCTGACACGATAGTGATATGTCGGTGTTTATGATTCGTTCTTTAGAAATATGATTCCCGTATAGTTTATCGTCCTTCATTATCATAATCAACCAAGAATTTTTATTACTATTTTAATTTTTATTACTATTTTAATTTTATTACTATTTTATTACTGGCGGGGAGGGCTAGGATAAACACAGTCAGAAAAGTAATATCTCAATTGTTGTAAACTGATAAATACTTAAAATATAGTCTAGGCTAAGTAAGTAACATAAGTAGTCGTAATAGTTCTGATGCCTCGCTTCATGCATTCGGTCATTGAAAAGCCCCAATAATAGGGAGTGAGCTGAATCAGAATAATGTAATGTACAAATGTATACCTGTGATGATACAAAAATGTCCTGCCAAGACAGCGAAGTATCTTCTGATAACAGGTACACCCTCCTATACAACTGCAACAAACTGAAATGTATACAAAACAGTGTTACACTAATTTATATATCTACCCATTCGTTAGCGTAATTAGCTAGAAAAACAAGCAGTTTGATAACGGCTGCTTCCGATACCGTACCGCTTCCTACTTTTGTGGTAAGAGTTTAAATTATTTGCGGCCTCTTTCATTTATAGCGAAAATAGTATATGCGATGAAAGAAAAGAAATATCAGAATTATATGAAATTGAGAGATCGCATGATGTATTGCACGGAATTCAGAGGAAACTGTGCGGAATTTATGCCAATTGGCTTTGTGGTTATATTGCGCATTTCGGCATTTGCAATGGACCATTTGCATTATAGACTAAATTTTGATCTACACAAAAATTTCATCACAGCTTGAAAGAGCATCACAAAATTAGTAATTTGCAATCTTCAGTCATTTTGTATTACAAACGGGAAATTGATGCCCCAACACCCGATTGGGCTGTCAATTTCCCGTGCGTGATACAAAATGACTGAAAAACGGCAAACTTCGCATGGCTATATTATCCGCATTTTACAACATTTCGCAACGAAACTTTGGAATATTACTAATTTTGTGATGCTCTTTCAAGCTGCGATGAAATTTTTGTCTAGATCAAAATTTAGTCTATATAATGCAAATGGTCAATTGGCATCCCACGGTGCGCAAACGGAGACTGAATCTGTGCGAGCATATGGACATGGTCACTTGTTTTGTAAACATTACTTAAAAGCACATTAATAATTCATGAAGAAAACACAAAGAAAAATCATAATTTTTTGTAATCATAATAAATCAGTGCAGGCTTTGATTCCGAAAGCAGTCCGAATATATTTCAATTATATATGTGAGTGAATTAGCCTTTCCTCACGCCACCATTTTTGGGTTGCAACATTTTTAGAACAGGGATAGTAAGCAGCGAAAATGAAACTTTCTAGAACTATAGCTGTAAGTATAATCATTATAAATAGATTTACAGTTAAATATTTGAAAAATTATTTTCCACATCGTTTAGATTTTTCACGTTATTTATAAAATAATACCCAGAAATGTCGGATTTAGATCTTCGTGAGAATTAAGGCTAATTGGGTGGGATAACTCACATGCCTAGTTACCACTGTTCTGAATAATGTAAACATAGAACGGAACAAAGATAACCAATTATTTAAATTATATATGCGTGAACTTCATGACCTAGCTAACATTATTATACAAAATCAAATGCAACCCTCTTAATGTCACCTTTAACCAATACCTTACACCTGCAACTAACCCCTATGCAACACGGAACTTCGACCCTAACAACTATAACATAATCGTCTCCAAAAATCAAGAATCAGTCTTCCGACAATCCTATTTACCACGCACCATCATCCTCTGGAACAATCTACCACCGAACATCAAAGCCGCCCATTCCCTACAGACCTTCAAGCGACATCTACACACTTATTATAAAGCCAAACTGTTTACCTACACACCACCATAGATAATTTTACTCCAAAATTCGTTGTACAGTATCCTATATTTTAAGTTGCATGTAATCTGTGATATGTTCTTACATAATTGTCCTAGTACATCTCGTTATCCATTAATTGTTAAGGGGTCGAATATCAATTGGAATTTAGTTTCTGTTTTCTTCTTCTGTCACAGCATTTTCTAGTTATTGTTATTGTTATATCTCTATGTAAATGTATTTCTTTTATGTGTGTGACAAAATGAATAAATGGATTGGGTGGGATAACTCACATGCCTATATAGTTACCACTGTTCTGCTCATTTAAACATAGAGAAATAAGGATAAACAAGTATTTAAACTATGCATGTGAGTGGATTGGATGACAACGGAAATAAACACATGGTAGGAATTGCGGCTTGGCTTGTTGGAGCGGTCACGTATTAGGCAACTCTAACTGAAATTTCCAGTAAGGTACTAAAAATCTTGAATTATTTCACCCTGAATAAGAAATGAATCTCTAGGGGGAACGGTTTAGAACAAATTCTATTCAGAGTGGCTGTTTTTGGGAGTTGAGTGACTTGTCACTGTGAGGCCACACAAATTGAAAATGTATTTTAAGCCTTGGGATTGATATCAAGCGGACAATCACGTTCATGGTCGTGACGCCGGTTATTGCTGTGTTGTAATTCCGGACCCGGTGTGTCCAACGCTGGTTGTTGCTGTGTTTGTTGTAATTCCGGTACGTAAGTTCGAAATTTCATCCCACCCTGTCCGGCTTATTGCTCTTTTGATACTGTGGCAAGCTGCTCCATTTACTCTTCTAGAACATTTAGAACATTGTTCTGGAACGGTATAAAATGGAGTGCACACGGTGTTCTGGAACAGTGTCGAGTTTATCATATATATGCGTGCAACGATGCATTACTATATTAATTAGTTATTCGCATAATAAAGCGTATAATGATTCGCTGTTATTTGTACATCTACGTATATGCTTTTGCAACGTTTTTACTCGTTGATTTTGCCCAACCCTGGCGTTCAAATAGCATATAATAAGTATATGTCGAAATATAGCGGTTAACCCTAACACGTACTACTCGAAAATATAGCGGTTAACCCTAACACGTACTACTCGAAAATCGGGGTAGTCATAACAGTTCAGAACAGTCATGTGACTCTCTTCTGTTCCATTCCATCAGTGTTCCGAAAATCCGGAGTACTCCAAACAGTAAATGGAGCAGCTTGTGGGAGAAAATTGGAGTACCTGGACTCCTGGAGACAGGGGCGTAGGAACGGGAGGGGAAAGGGGCCTAGGCCCCTAAGTTTCAGAAGACACAAAAAGTGTCTTCTCTCCGGTGGCAAAGTACCCTTCGTCTTCGTGAAAAATGTTGTTCAGAAAATAACCTGCAATTCTTGGGAAAAGTGCCCTTCAATAAATAAATGTCCATGAAACAAATAAATTTAACTTTTGGTCGTTTTTTTTTTGTTTTTTTTTTTAAATGTGGTCAAAAACGTTGATTGTACGTTGCATTTCGAAATTTGGGCAAATGTATTATATTAATTAAGCATGAAATATGATATGATTGCAAAATTGTTTTCCTCCCCTCCCCCCCGTCGCCAACATTCCCGAGAAAATTTTTTAGGTTTCATTATCCAAAAGTGCCCCTCGAAGCCGCACCCCCCCCCTCCCCAACCTTTTGATATTTCCTACGCCCCTGCCTGGAGAAAACCCGAGCCGTTTGGTAGAGTCAAACTCCCTTATTGCTCCCCCAATAAAAAACCGTTCTCTCAAAATGCTTAACACTAATAACAGGACTTGGAGCTAGCACTCTGTACCCGGCAGTAATATATCCGCATAAATATATTGAAAAGTTTCTTTATTAATAATAAACATGCATTTGTTTATTTGTAATTTCATTGTTACGGACAAATATACAAAATTCCGTTTGAGATTATTTAATACTGGTTTACACTACATCTAAGTTTCTGTGACCACAGTAGGAATTTTGCATATAGGTAATTACGTAAATTTCAGTGGCCTCAAACATTTCTTACAAATCCTTCAAAAATTTAGCTATGCAAAATTCCTACTGTGCCACAGAAACTTTCATAGTCTAAACCTTTACCTGAGGTTAGTTAGAAACTTGAGTAACTTTCCTGTTTCGCCAAATAGTCGAACTTTGTGACCGTTGTCCGTCGCCGTTGACTCACCAGTTCACCAACACGCACTAAAGTAAATGCGGACGATATTCATTTTATACAACTATAAATACACGATGGCAAAATAAGCTAATCCTGTCGTGGGTGTCAATGAAATTCCGCATCAGCAGAATGCTTAAACTAGACGCAACTCGTTACATCAACAAGTCGAGCAATGCGAGCATGTAAACAACATAATCAATCTATTAGAATAGACTTGGTCAGACTTTAACAAATCACACCGCAGAGAAGGAGAAAATGTATTGAGAAACTGATTTTGAAGAACTGAAACTTCTGAAATATACCAGTTTTGCGCAAGAGTTTTGTATTTTCGCCGTCTTGTTCCAGCGTAGGACGTGGGCGCATATTATGCCAGAGGTTAATTCCTGTGCGCGAAATTGAATGGGCGAGCAATTCATTGCATAAATGCGCGCGCTTTGATAATTAGATGTTTGACATATTTCCTGATGTAAACAGATATAAAATGACTTAATTTTTCCAATTTTAGACATTAGTAGTTTCACGTATAAATACTGAACTGGACGTCGTCAGGTCTATAGTTGTTCACAGGATTCGTAATGTCAGCTGTGCTCGGATAATTCGGTTTCATATGTCACCCGCTTGAACGCGAAACACGGACATTATGCAAATTGCGTAGGGTTCGAAAGTCATCCTGTCTCCTGTGTTTGTTTTCCATTGGTTAGATAAATTAAAGGGGCACTGTCATCAACATTTTTATTTTCTTAAACGAAAATGCTCTTAAAACTGTATAATAACTTGTTTTGAAGATTTTTGTTCCCATCCTTAGTTCTTGAGATATTTCATTTTGATTGTAACCATGTGACGTCATTTACTCAATTACATATATAATGAGATATCAGTAATTGTTGTGTATCTTTGCTATTTTGATGGATTTGTTTAAAAAAAAACAGTGTGCTTAATGATGTAGGTTAAATTAACAAACGCGCCGCACCTTTCGAAAGATTTTGATAAAAAGTAGCAAAGATACACATGCAACCATTACTGGTATCTCATTATATATGTAATTGAGTAAATGACGTCACATGGTTACAAACAAAATGAAATATGCTTGTGATGTGTCTCTGAGTGTATATCCACGCCGGGCAGGCTTGAAAAATATACCTGGCCACGGTGGGAATCGAACCTACGACCTTTGGAATACCAGCCCAATGCTCTGCCAACTGAGCTACGCGCGGTCAGGTCTGTTCGAGTATGTGATATTTCGAAACTGAGTCTAGTTCCTTCGATATCAGTGTAATCTAATAATCATGATATTTACTGCGTTGGTGTAGCGTACTCAGGTAAATAAGATCATTGTGATGTTACTCAGAGTAACATCATACTCACCTGAGTACACTACACCAACACAGCAAATAAAATGAAATTTCTCAAGAACTAAGCATGGGAACAAAAATCTTCAAAACAAATTATTATACAGTTTTAAGAGCATTTTCGTTTAAAAAAATAAAAATTTTGATGACATTGCCCCTTTAAGCTAATCTTATCAGCACACTTATAGCTAAGCAGCCTAGAAACATGAAGGGATAGAGAGGAAATTTGCAAATTTTGTTGCAATTTCTCGTGTGATTTTCGTCTTAATTTTGATGCATGTATAAAACGAGTGGGAGAGTTATAAATATTCTGAGTATATATACCCTCATCTGAACATTCATTACTCATTCACTCGTTCACATCCATCAGGAGAAGAATATCGCAGCAACAATGGACCTATTGACCATTTGCGTAATAGACTAAATTTTGATCTCAACAAAAATTTCATTACAGCTTGAAAGAGCATCACAAATTTAGTAATATTTCAAAGTTTCGTTGCAAAATGTTGCAAAATGCGGAAAATATAGCCTTGCGAAATTTGCAATTTTCAGTCATTTTAGATTACAAACCGGAAATTGACAGCCTCGAAGGGTTTGGGGCTTAGCTGTCAATTTCCCGTTTGTAATCTAAAATGACTGAAAATTGCAAATTTCGCAAGGCTATATATTTTCCGCATTTTACAACATTTTGCAACGAAACTTTGGAATATTACTAATTTTGTGATGCTCCTTCAAGCTGTGATGAAATATTTGTCTAGACTTGTTTAGTTCAAAATTTAGTCTATTACGCAAATGGTCAATTCCC